ATGGTAGCTAGCTCGCTTAGTGCCTATGTCTGTGATTATGACTCGTTGGCCACTCATCTGGGCAACTAGCTGAGCTTTCATAAATACATATATTCTCCTTCAGACAGAAAGGTTTATAACAATGCTGTGATGTACCCAAGACAGCAGTGTGTGTGGGAAGGTTAAAATGGTTTAAGAGACATACTGCACACTACTATAAATATATATATATGAATAATATAAATTAATTCGCTTCAAATAAGCTGATGAACTTGATGAAAAGTTTAACGGGGAGATTCATAACGAACAGGAAGAGGCAGCCGACCATTTCATTCACGCTGGCTTTCAGCCCTGCAAAATAAGTTTAAAAAGCAATGAGAACAAACACAGCCGTTCATTTATATTGATTTTTCCAACTCCACCATGTTTTACAGCCCAGTGTTAATGTATCGTGCGTGCACCCTGTGCACCACGTGACAGGGGCTCTTCCCATAAATGTCCTTAACAGTTATATAAAAGACGTTCCTGTCTGAATGAAAGAAGAAAAGCTATCACTGTAATAGCTTGTGACCTTTTCGGTGTTCGAATAGGACTTCATTTGCACATTATATCTCATTTGTTCAATCGTACAAAAAATGAAATGTCAAAAGAACAAAATTGTGGTCACTGTGCTTGTCCAAAAAATAGTTTTATGCACTTAAGCACACACTACAGGCATTTTCATCAGGATGAATGAAAGTTATTTGAGCACCTAGCACACCTATCGAGCATCTTTCAACACCATGGACGCCAGGAATGCAGCATTTCGTTGCTGGGTATGAAGGACTAGGTGTCTTCAAGTTCTTTAGAAAACATTTTCCCTCTGCATGACAGCTAACCGTTAGCATACTCGTTCTGTCTGAAAGAGCCACAAGCATCATATGACTCATAGACTAGCAACAGTATTGACAGTGACACATTGAGCAATGGGCAGCCTTTGTGCAGCGCCCGGAGACCAGCCCAAGTTCTAAGCCGCTGGTAAAGCACTGACAGAAGACATACATGTCTTTGATAGTTGGGGAAACCAGATCACCAAGAGGAAATCCACCAAACTCAACACAGCTGGGATTTAAACCCAGGATCTTCTTGTCAGCACTAACCACTGAGCCACCATGCTGCAACATTATAGCCCAGAGTTATACCATAGTTGTGTGTCTCCAACATCCTTTCTGTTGTTTCATTGAGTCTTTAAATACAGATTAGAGGACTGTACAATGTGCAGTCATTAAACATTGTCTACTGTGAAATGATGTAAGAAATGAGGCATGCAGGCTTAAAGTTCTTAAATGTACTGCAACATGTGTCAGCACAGCATGGATCTGCTTCAGAGAACACAAGGAGTGACACAGGCTAAGGATGCAGCATATTTGCCTGCAAATTAACACAGGAAATGAAAACTAAAAGGTAACAGAGGCAAAAAGAAAAAGGAATGCATAGATCAAGGGTGTGTCTTTTCTAACTGGAATAATCTGTTTCTGAAAAATATTATTTACAAACGCCTCCTTGCCATCTCATGGTGAAACAGTGATTTGCGTTCTAAAAGGTCTGATTAAAAGCCGGTAGTGGGTTGACATCACACTGACAATACAGACTGTGCCTTCAGATAATTTCAGTCACACAGACATCCGGAATAAAAATGACAGGGACAAACAGAGCATCAGTGTCAGCTGAGTTCCTATGGGTAGCAATTCATGTCGTGCTTTTTTTTGTGTGCTAAATCTAGAAAATGAAAGGATTCTAGCAAGAACAGTGATGAACAGAGGGTGTTGATGAACATCGAAATTCATGCCAGTTATTTACTTAACCTGATGTGACCTCAATTAAACCACTTACAATCCTTTCCAAACACACTCTAATGTCTCAGTAGGTTAGTCCAGAGCCCCATGCTTCTGAAGCAAATGACTGGAAAAGGTAATTTCTTTTGTCCTTCACATTGTCCTGTATCAGTCAGCCTCGAAGGACTCTGATTGGTCCGGCACCACTGTAGTTTGGCCACAAACTCATAGACTGAAGCCGTGGTTCCCAGCCTTTTTCCTGAAGGGACCTTATCTATCATTGAATCATTGATTTAACTGAAGACCCCTGACTATGCAATATATTTTATGAATATTTAGTATTATATTCAATGCATAACTGACAGTACAGAACAGCTGATAAACTGTACAATGAACCCAAACAGTGAACACAATAACTGCAAGAAGTTTGTGTAATTTTGAGCATATTCTTCCCCGTGAATATTGATTAGAGATGAGTTTTCCTGATAATTTTAGGAACTTTTTTATACAATACTTGTTTGTATTGTGTACTTTTTATTTCATTTTTAACAATCACACATAATAGATGTCTTTTCTTTAACTGTGTAATTTTCTAATGTAAGACGACACTATGACTCGCTTGTGTTCTTCAAAGTTTATACACTGCAAAAACAACCCTTCTAGAAACAATAAAATATTCTCAAATATAATCCAGTAAACACTGTCAAGTAAAGACTACAATATTTTGGTCACTTTATTGAGCTGAATTTAAGATTAATAATAATAAAATCTTACAATAAGACAATTTTTGCAACTTTCAAACTTTTACTTTTTAACGTGTTACTGGATAAATCCAATATTAGCTGTAATATCTTGTTAAGACAATAAGTTACATATATTTCCTTAAAACAAGATTACTTTTCTAATGCAAAACCTGCTTGACAGGATTATTTTTCTTTCTAGAATACAAAGTATGACTCATTTCCCAGAAACAAGTCTTTTTACTCTGTTGAGATTCCTTTTTTGCAGTGTAGTTGGTAACCTCCATTTCATGCCAGTGGTGTTGTTAATGTGTGCTCCTCCAAATTGAAACCACATTTCCATAAACTCAGTTGCCTCCCTGTCACAAAGGATGTCTGCTGACATATTTAGTTGTTCCCCATATTTTATGTGCTTTGTGTCAGAATGTGAGGTTTGACTGACCCGAAACTCACAATGATACAGCAGTCAATGCAAAAATAAAAAACAGTCCAGAAGTTTCTTCTGTGCTGTTTTGTTTTCTAACTGGAGTGTTGAGTTCATACTTACAATAATCACACTGCTTATCCATTCCTTCAGATATACGTTGAATGTACTTGAGGAACTGGGTGACGGAGAGAAAGTAAATGATGACATCATTGTAAAGTGGGTGAACAAAACGTTGGCGGAGGCTGGAAAATCAACCAAGATTTCAAGCTTTAAGGTAAACCTGTTTTTCCTCTTTTGGATTACATTTCTGTCAAAACTGTGTCGATTTATATGAAACATTTTAATATGGAACTTTAAAATAAAGGTTTTCTTTTGTAGCCTTTTCTGAGCTTTCCACCGTATCTTCTTCAGCAGTGATAACGTGGTCGCATATGGGAGGGGACTTTAATGTCACATTTCTCAGAGTTTGCTGAAGATCAGGAAATGCGGCTGAAAGCTCAGAAATAGCGAGCAAGAAGAACTTTGACTTTAGATGATTTTGTTACACATACTGTTCCCAACTTGATGATCTTCCATGTTTTAAATTTAAAAAATGAAAATTAGAAACAATCACTGTATGAATGCTGTTACAGGCAGTGTCCTACAAATCAAAAGGCACTACATGTTCGTGCCTGTGTGTTAGATCCTTAATCTGTGTGTCTTGTGGTAATCAGGACAAGGAAATCAGCAGCAGTTTGGCAGTATTGGAACTGATAGACGCTATCCAGCCCGGCAGCATCAACTACGAGCTGATAAAAACCGGCAGCCTCTCTGAAGACGACAAGCTGGAGAACGCCAAGTAAGATTTGTCTATGACGAAAAGAAAGAGAAGCAGCCTTTTCCCATAACTTATGGTAACTACGTGGTTTTCTAACAGTTTTCTACAATTCAATAAACCTCTCTTTCGTTTCTAGGTACGCCGTCTCTATGGCGAGGAAGATCGGAGCCCGTGTCTACGCTCTCCCAGAAGACCTTGTGGAAGTCAAGCCCAAAATGGTCATGACAGTCTTTGCCTGCTTGATGGGTCGGGGGATGAAGCGAGTCTAAGACACTGGCTGGGATCATTGTGACACTTACTAAACTCATACCCACAAGCCATTAGCATTTTGAAAGAGCTCCCCCAACTGAAGGAATGAAGATTAGTTTTTTTTTTTTGAATGAATGAATGAAAATAACACAATAGTATGAAGTCAAAATCAGAAATTTGCATCTATCCCGGCCTCCTTTTGAGGTGTTTACTGAAGAATTATGTGCTGTTATTTAAAGTCCACAACACTAAAATTTTTAAAGACATGGGTCTTGCGTTACAGGGGACAACTTGTTACTTTCGATATGCAGAACTCTTCATTAATGTACAAGAATGCTGTTTTGTTTTTTTAAAGCGAGTATGCATATTTCCAGCTGCAAGGTTGTTTACATATTTTTACTTAGACTGATAAGTAAATTATATCCTTGACTAAGCAACACACATTCCCGAATACCATACTTATGAATTAATGCTTGACGAGGCAAAAAAAAAGAGAAAAATAAGAAGAAGAAGTCCGAGGCGGGATGTTTAGGTGGAGCACATGTCAAAAAAAAAAAGAAACACCCAAACATTCCCTCTCGCTTAATGAAGTACAAGCATGTCTTAATAACTGGCAACATATTCTACATATCTGTATACAGAAGCCATACGGTCAAACTATAGTAATGACCAGCCTGGTGTGCTGTCTGTATTCTTGTACTCCTCGTTTGTTTGTTTCTTGGGATTATTACGTGAGGTAAATGCTGTTTTTGGGTGTCTAGTCTTTGTTATATTGGGCTTCTGTTTTTTTTTTTTTGTCTGTTACGTTGGAAGAGGAGCAGGCTGACTGGACTCTCCTGGCTTCTGCTGTGCCTTCTTGTCTCAAAGACGACTTGTACTCGCACTTTGAGGTTTTCCCTTTTTCTATTGTATTCAACATTACCAAATATAAACAGTAACTTCATTCCAGGTAGTTTCTCAATATTCTTTGTCAATGGCCAAATTGTATTTGGTCTATTGTCTACTCTTAAGTGCTTTACATGTAACAATAAATATGACTCTGAAAACTGCTCGTGTGTTTTATCTTTATAGTTTCTGGAAAAGGCATCTTCCGTAGAAATGGAGGTGACAATCAACTAATCTGTCAATTATTATTATTATTAATTATCCTGAGTACTAACAGTGACTTAAACACTAATTGGACAAAAGTAAAGGTCTGAGATGAGGAGAGTCATATTTAATACTCAACCAGTGTTCTTACTTTTTACTACTTATCTATCTATCCCTGCAGTGGTGTCAATAGTGCACTGTCTATGCGGAAGGTTAAATGTCTTCAACCTTTAACAGAATGCATTTAGTCTTCATAGTGAAACACTTGTGGTGCTGTTGGATTGTATTGTGAGAGGTGCTCTCTTATCATTTAGTCTACACTCATTGATATAACTGGGGCGGATACATACAATTCAATACTACCACTGTATTAGATTTAGCTATGTGTGTGTAAGTCTACATTTAAAGGAACAGTTCAGCACTTTTTGTCACTCAGATATGAAGATGTACACAGAAGCTAGTTAGCTTAGCTTTGCATAAAGACTGCAAACGGCAACACAGTTAGCCTGGTTATGTCCACACTAAACATTATCTGCCTACCAGCACCTATAAATTAGCTAATTCATTTTATAATTTTAAACCAAAGCATGAAAAGGCCAATTTATAGTTTTATGGGGATTGTACTGTAAACCAGGTGTAGCATCTTTGTGTTACTGTGAGGTGGCTAGGCTACCGGTGTACACCAGGCAGATTTCATGTCTGTTTCCCCTGTTTCCAGTCTTTATACTAAGCTAAGGTAGCAGGCTGATGGTTGTACCTTCATATTTACCATAAATACTTCTTCTCTAACTCTGCAAGAAATCAGATAAATGTATTTCACAAAATGACCAACTGCTCCTTTAAGATATGTTGACCTAAACTGAAAACCAACGGCCTTTGTTTCCATTAGAAACATAAGACCGTAGAGCAACCTGCTAGGGAAAGACATTAACTTCTTTAAACATCACTTTTATGATCTCAGCTTTTATCTCATCTTCATTTTACTGCTGCCTGCTTCTCCTTTTTCTTATCTCTGTTTCTGTTTGTGTTACTTCTTTGTGCTTTTATGTTCTTCCCTCTTTTTCTTCATAAAACACACTACCTGTTTTAAATAGCACCTCATAAAAAGTATATAGTTATTGTTGTTTGTATTTTTTCTCTCCCTGCTGCTTTTTGATGAATGACTATGAAGTCTTCCCAAGTGGAGTCTGATCATTTAAGATTTATATAATATATATATTTATATTTATATACGTAAAGTGCATCTTTCCATAATAATAAGATTTCTGTTTACACATTTGATCTATTAACTCTCTTCTCTCTTGTTGACAGTCTTGTAGTACAACCGGGAATAGCAGTGGCAGATTGTAGTTTACTGTTCACTAGCCTGAATCTCAGTCATATGTTAAGTCCTCAGGGCTTCACTCCATGAAGGGTTTCACAGTAGTTCTCCAGTCCTCCTGTCTCCCAAAGATCTGATTAAAGCTGAGACTGTCAGAGAGCTGGATGATGAGGAGGCTGTCTCCTGTGGCCTTCACCATCGAGACTTTCAAGCTCCATTTGCATCAGTGAGTGTGTCTTTGTGGTGCTGGAAAGAGAGTTTGGCTTTATAAAACGAACACCTGAGACCATTATAATACAAATAAATAAAAACAAACACATCCCGGTAATAATCCCTGATTAGAAGAGTAGATTAAATAGAGGAGAGAGGGAGGTAAAAAAATATTATGTTAAAGAGTCTAATGTTGCACAAAAAAGCCAACAGCGGTGCAGAAAAATGTCTTCTGTCACTGATATACTGTATATTATTATATATGACACAAGTCATAGATTATTAATACTGATGCATCAGTGAGTAAGCAGTATTTCACTGTTGAAGCCCAGGTGAAGATTAACTATAATTTATATATAGTGAGGTTGTTTAATGCAGTGGGTCCCAACCAGTGGGGGGAGGGTTGTACGAAGATTAATGGGAAAGAGGAAAAAAAAAACTAGTTCTTCTACACAAAGTTGTACTCTTCTATAATCTGTATTTTTCGTGTGAAATATTGTATAAGTGAACCTCTTTGGGCCTGGAACAGTTAGTGAAAGAAAGTGAATAACCAAGTTTAGAGCCAAAAAGGTTGGGGACAACTGGTTTAAACTTTAACAGTACATTTTAATTGATCTTAATCTGCATGAAATAACATAAAACATGAAATACCAAGATATTATCAAAATATGTAATACAACAATATCAATATATGAGTAATACAGGAAGCTGAATATCAAACACTGAAATAACTTGTTGAATTGTCTGCTTTCTTTGTGCTGTTTCTCCAGTGGAAGAGACGTGTAGAGGAAAGGCACTGCCAAGTGGTTTTCCCAGAAGACTGCTCAGTCTAAAGCTGACATCTGGGCTCTTAACCATTCAAAGATTTCCCCGCCCTGCGTCTCCCACCCTGCCAGCCTCCTGTATGTGCTCAGTCCATCTGAGGATCAGGTGGACCACATGTTCCTGCTCCTGAGGGAAAGAGGGGAACACACTCCAAGTAGAGGCTCACAGCAAATGTTGCAAGACCGGGACTTGATTGTTTTTTAGGAGTGTTGGATGCAGTTTGATTTTTCCTCTCATAACATCCACTGTGGGCACTGAGGATGGATTGGCCGGGAGAGAGCTGCTCTGGGTGTGTCTCTGTGAAATCACCATAAGGATTTTATTGGAGTAACTGAAGGAAACTAAAGGTAAGACAACAGATGTGAGTGAACTAATTTATTTTTCTATAATTTTTTTCTTCTTTTTTGGCAGTTCACTGCAATGCTAATGATCCACGATGTTAATCTGTTAATGACAAATAATTAACTTTTTTGTAGAGCAATGATGTTTTTTAATTTTTTTTGTTGATTTTTGTTGCTATAGCTCTATCTTACAATGTATTAAATAAAAAATATATAATGCATAATATTCATAGGTAATTGTAGGGAAATGTTCTTGTCACTTAAGTAATTTTCTATACAACTCTTTATTTTACAGGTCTAGGAATAGGAAGTTCTTCTTAGGAAGCTTCATTTAAATCAAAGTAAATATTTACTAATTCTCATCTATTATTGGCAACTTTATTCTCCATGTATGTTAAACTACTGGCTTGCCTGCAGAATAATATCTCGATTACACTATAAATTAGTTGTAATAAATCCTATAATTAACACTAAATTACATGTGCTTCCTAGGAAACGTTCCAAGAAACATTTGGGAAGTTTTTCAGAAATTATGGATCCATAAAATAAAGCTTTACACCCCCAAAAATGACCAGTTTTTGCAGCCCAGCAGCTCTCATGCAGTTATGTCACATACAAGAAACACTTTGCTTACAGTCAGCACCCTGGTTTCCTAAGTGATGTGGCTCCTGAGGGAGAGCAGCTGATTGGCTCGCTGAGCCGCAGAGCTTCAGGCCGACTGTGTGTGTGTTTTCGTTAATGATCCACCAATTAGTCACACAATGGTAACAGTCGCCTAAACACCTCGTCATCTGTCTGCGTTGCAGAGGGTGAAAGCGTGCCCACTGCCCTCGTGTTTTGGGGTTGAGGGGTGCTTACTCTCTGTGGCAGGACATTTTCGGTGAACTTCCATCACGTCAGGTTCGCATTTCAAACAATGCAGCATCCGTATCATGTCACTGAGTTCCTCTTGTAGTTGCTTCAGTCGCCACAGCAACCAGCTGCTGTGTGAAGGGCCATGTGAGGGACCGTGGTCCCAGTTGTCCCCCACCACCGTCCCCTGACTATAATCTGTCATACGCACCATAAACACTCCCTGTAAACTATAAACACTTTCCTCTGCTGCCACAGTGTCACTGCAGCGAAAAGCCAACTGAAAACACGCTCAGCACTCAGGGTCAGTAGAGCAGCTGACTGCGAGGGAGGCTGTAATGTGAGTGTTTGCCCTCACCTGCAGATCTGAAGATGACGGGCCAGGCGGCGGAGAGAGAGCACTCACCACACATTCTGTCAGTGAAGACCACCTTGGAGGAGGAGATCGAGAGAGCCGAAAGTATTCTTAGCAGGTGACAACAACTATTAAATCATATGTTAGGACGTATTTGCCTCAGAGGGTCGTTAGAGAGAAGCAAAGCATGTGATGTGCAAAACAAGTGAAATCTCACATGTGTTTTTATCTCCCAGGGTGCCATCTGTCTGTGATGACACATGCTCAGAGCTACAGAGAGTCGCTGCTCTTGACCCTCATGGAGGCAACTCCAGAAATTCTTTTGAAAGGAATGGAGCTATCTCAAGGTAAAGCTACTGTATAGCAACCCAGCTGTGGCACGTCAGACCTCAGAGTCTTTTTAAAAACAGCCCATGTTTGTTTCTTAAGTACAATGGGTGCACAAAGTGTTTTATATAAAAGTACACGTTCAACCTCACATTTAACCTCAATGTTGGTTATATTTGTCAATTGAAACACATTCAGGAGCAAAAACACAGAGAGAAAAAAGGTTTTCCATCTTCTGTCACTGTGTAAAACTTCTACCTGGTGTACTTTAGCTAATCTAACCAAATGAGACTGTAGTCCCATGATCTGTGTTGATTTCTCAATATTTCCCATAAGTCTGATTGCTTCTGGCCACAAAAAGGACGTTGCACATTTATCTAAAGGCTTCTCTTGACCTGTCTGAGGGGAAAGACATGTTGTGATTTTTCCATCATCCTTTCTCTTGTTCCACTGTCTGGTTGTGTGAGACACTGACAGCTGTAGTTGTGTTTGGTGCGACTGCCAGTCCTCTCTGTGGTGGTGTCGTACATTAACAACAGTTTATTTGATGTTTTTAGTGAGTTATTATGCTGAATGTGTGTGCCTGTTGTGTGTCACTGTCATGGTTTTGTTTTCACACATTGTGCTTCTTGTGTGTGTGTGTGTGTGTGTGTGTGTGTGTTTCAGACTGGTGAGCCTGGTGGTGAGACTGAGGGAATGGGCACACAGGAGTCTGCTGGAGGAGGAGGA